CGCACACACACACACACACACACACACACAAAATTATAAGGGAAAAATATTGTATGTCAATGCATTTGTCTTGGTTTGGGATATCTTCGCACTCTTACTGGGCAAATGCAAAGTGAATTGCAGAAGTTTTTTAAGCAAATGCAAAAGCATTGAGAAATTATTTCAATAATTTCAGTAGTTTGTTTCTTCATGAGAACAGAATTGAAGAAATGGGTGCCGTCAGAATGAGAGTCCAAACAGCTGATAAAAACATCACAATAATCCACAGCACTCCAGTCCATCAGTGAACATCTGGAGAAGACAAAAGCTGAAACTAATCCAGCATTAAGACGTTTTTAACTCAAATACGAGTCCATAATCCATAATAACTTTTAACCTTTAATAAATAATTCCAAAGGGAAGTAAAAGCCAGTAAAACAATATTTATGGCCAATAAATGTTCTACATTTAGGTTAATTTTGGATCCTGTTCACATATTCAGACACATATGATGAACTTACAGAAGAAACGGTCAGATTGTGCTTTTGTTGAATATTTGCTTTCAGATGTTTCTCTATAACACTTACTCTGTTTCTCAAACAGAAGGGTCGTCTGCATTGCGATCCCACCTTTGAACTGGAGGAGATGATTCTGGAGTCTCGTCCTCTTCATAAGAAGAAGAAGCGACTGGCAAAAAACAGATCGAGAGACAACAGCAAAGATTCTCAGTCTGTGGGTGAAACTGACACACACACACACACACACACACACACGCTTAATATACTGCACAACACACACACACTTAATATACTGCACAACAATATTTGATCTTTTCAGTAAGCATTTTATTTTATTTTTAATTTAGCATTTATGATTTAATTAATTAATAGGTTTTCACTCTTAGCCATATTTTGGGGATAAAATTTCATCTAGCAGTGAACTAAATTTGACCTCCTTTTGGAGACATCCTCATTTGTAAAATTGGTATAAATCAAAGTAAATAAAGTCAGCATTTTTTTTGCATATGCAATGCATAAAGTTTTGTGATAGTGTTAGGTTATAGTATTTTATAGTATATCTGTATATAACAGGGTTTCTGCGGGACTCAAAAAAGTCTTAATTCGCCCTTCAACAAGTTAAGACATTTAAAAGTCTTAAATCTTAAATTCATAAAGTCATGGCATTAAATGTTGCATACACTGCAAAACATGAATATCTTCCTCAGTATCTTCGTCTATTTTTCCGGTACAACTATCTAAACATTCCTAAATGATTATTTTCGCTGGTAGGATTAAGCAGCATGTCCTTTTGGAGTTTGTAAAAAAAAAGTAAATTTTATTTTGTTATTTTTGAGCAAATCGGAGGTTGGAGCTGAGTCTCGGGAGCACGCCGAGGTTTGAGAGAATTGTTGTTCTTCTCAGCTTGCATAAAAACCCATCACTGTGTGCTTGAAGATTAGGGTCTACTTAGTTAGATTTATGTATAGGTAAGCTATGAAACATAATCTTCAGGGGACTTCATTTGTTTCTCTCTCTATATTGACAGCTGTGAAGTTAAGGATTTAATTTTAAAGGATTTTGTATAGAATTATTGATTGAAATCGTTGAATAATTATTAAATATGACATCAATCGAAATAAGTGAATTTAGCGAAAATCCGTTTTAGCGAAAACAGGTTTTAAACCTGTTTAATTGATTGAAGTCGGAAAGCGTTATGATATTGTCCTTTCCAGGAATGATAAGAAGCTGAAAGAGAATATTCAAACTGTTTTAGAAGTGTCTGTTATAAATAAAGGGATTATGTCATCTGAATTGTTGGGTTTGCTGATTACTGTGCTGTAACTCTGACCTTTGAGCAACAAAAAGAGTTCGCACTTCTCCAATTGAAACATCCTAAATTAGAGTTCAAGATAGAAATTGAGAAACGAAAGCTAGAACAGGAGATCATGTTGGCACAGCAGGCCTTAGAAAACAAGAAATTAGGTCTACAACAACAACGTCTGGACCTTATGAAAGAAGGAAATGTAAGAACCGTGTTGAGTGACAGTGACTTATATGAAAGTGGGACGCTTTCTGATAACTTTAATGTGGCAGCAAATTTGCGGTTGATGCCTTTGTTTACAGTTTTTTTACTGCTTACACACATTTTCAAAACTTTGCACACAAATCCAAGAATTACACACTTAAAATGCAAAATGCCTCACATCTGGTGCAGAAAGAAAAAGAGTTGTTTTTTACACACATTACTGGTGTAATGCTTCAGCTGTTGAATCGTATGAGGATCTTGCTGATTTAGTTGTTTTGGAGCAGTTTAAAAACACGCTGCCAAATCCATATCACAGAGCGTATGAATGTATCTACTGCAGCAGCTTTAGCAGATCAATATGACTTGATACATAAATCTTGTGTTGATGCTAGCCGCTTGAAAGATGAATGCAGTGAAAAGGTCTCATTTTATGCAACCTTTAATTAAATATGTTGACAGCCACACGTTATATAAATACGAAATTTTCTGGTAAAACCGATTCAGCTCTAATAAAGCAATAAGCCCCGTGAAGCTGTGGTTTACAGTGAATTTATAACAGCTAAGGGGCGTTGTTAGGCACGATGTGAAGCGGAGTCTAAAACCCTCTTAGCTGTTATAAATTCACTGTAACCCACGGCTTCACGGGGCTTACTGCTTTTATAAAACGGTTATTCCATATACGTAGTAAGGTTTCACAGAATAAATCAGAGCAAATAAAGTGTAATGATATTAATAAAAACAGTATTCTTCCACCAAACAATGTAGCTCCTCAGAAACAGTTGTGGTTGCTACAAAGTGGTTGCCGAGCAACAGACAAACGTAAACAAAGGTGTGTTACTTTGTAGCGTCATTTACAACAGCTTCGAACGCGGCTCAGCCAATCAGAATCAAGCACCGGAACACTCCGTTTTGTAATTTGTAATATTGTTTAGGTCATGGGCACTGGAAAAAAGATTCAAGCAAAAGGTCAAAACCGTTATACGTTGGCAAACCTACAGCGTCGGCTGCTTCGGTGCCCATAGCTAGTGGTTTGATTCCCTCTTGCTTTACGTTGAATGTTTAAGAAATGAATGAAATCTTCTGCTCAAATTCCAGTGTTTCACCTTTTGTCTCGGATGGTCTTGTGTCTCTCCCGAATGGTGAGAGTGTTCCAGTGAGAATTTTACGTGACACAGGCGCAACTGCCTCATTTATTTTGGAGTCTGTATTACCTTTTTCAAAGGAAACTTTTACTGGTGATTCGCAGTTTTCAATGTGCTGTAATAATCTAGTTGACTTAAACGCTTATTAAAATGAGAGTTTGCGGGATGAATTTCAAAATATGGAACATTTCAGAGACAGGAGAAGAGATATTCTGATGATTACGGTGTACAGAATTTTCCAAACTCAACAGAACTTTAAGTTTTAATCTGAGTAATTAATCTGAGTAATCATACGTGATCGTTTCACCTGTACAATAAACTAGTAATCACGACGCTGCAGTGCTAGTGAGATCTGATGAATAAGATCAGAATTAACCTTTCTTTATCTGTATTAAATATGTTAGTCACTATTCTGTCATTTTTCATGCACAATCATATAATATGAAATCTGTGCAGTGTCACATGGTTAGTGCAGATTGTCACATGACCAGAGCAGTTTACTTCCTGTTTGCAGCATGAGAAGATGATGACTGCATCAAAGCTCCAAAACAAAAGGCTTATATATGTTAACATAAAGATGTGACAAAGATCACAAAATATTGCACTAAATTAAAAGTTCAAATGTTACAAATAAGTTACAATTTTGATGTTGTAATGCTGGTAGCACTTATATAATAATTTTATGATATATGTTACAATAAAGTAACAATTTTGAAATACGTTGATGGTTGTTTTTTTTTTTTTTCTCTCAGTATTACTATCAGTGTTGTATAAGGATTTTTATGCATAATAGTAGCCCTAGAGTGTGATTAAATAGAGTTTCAAATAGTTGGGCTGAGATATATACAAATTTTTATGACTGCAGAAATATGATAATTCAGTATACACATTATACCATCGGTCACAATTGTGACCGACCATAAAACACAATTTTTCACACATTTTTCCCCCCAAAAAAGGAAAATTATTATTTCAAAGGGTCACTAATGGCATCTGGATATTTTCATGCCTGAACTTTTTTTTTATTTAAGATATTATGTCTTGTTTTCTGTAAAAAAAAAAAAAGTATCAATATTCTGTTAGTTTTTCCTTAAAACAAGCAAAAATATCTGACAGTGGGGTAAGAAAAATAATCTTGATTCAAAGGCTAAACAAGATGTTATTTCAGACATAACTGGCAGATATGTTTGAAAACAAAATATTGATACTTTTTTGCAGAAAACAAGACATAATATCTTAAATAATTTTACTTGTACAGTAAATGCATCTCGATTCAAGAATATTTAGATATTTATACTAGAAAACAAGACAAAAATACTAAGTAAGAGAATAATTTTTTGCAGTGTGGGTTTAACCCGAATTAACTTGTTTAAGTATTTGCTTGAAAATAATCTAGTTGTTCCATCCTCCTCAAGTTGGTCATCTCTAAAGTTGGGAATCGAAAGTCGATTCCTATTCCAGAATCAGATACTTAAGGTCAGGAATTGGATACTTGTTGTAAAATTAAAATTTCGATTCCACCAATCGATTCCTGTGTGCGCTTGCTCGCTAATCTAAGCGCTCCAAAGTTTGGCTACACTTGCGATCAGAAGCTGGAAAAGCTTAAAGTATAATATTTGTGATGATCACCACCAACATGACAAAGCACTTTAATTTAACAGATCGTTAAAGATCACGAACACGATTCAAACACCATTTTGAACAACACATTCTCATTATTTCTGTTTTACAAACACTCAAATAATCACAGAAGAACTGGGATAAAAGTTTATAGTTTGGATATAAACTCTGATGTGTACGGTAGCGATCAAAATAGAGTAAATCAGCTTTTGAAAGTAATTCGACAGTTCAAATACAGATTTATCATTACATTGTTACACCAGTAGGTGGCGAAAAAAACCTGTTAAAATGTATTTGTCTTTGAATCATTCATTCAAGAGATTTGTTCAAAAACGTTGATTCACCCAGTAATGAAACCAGTAAATCTTGAGGGAGTCATTGATTCATTCATTCAAGAGATTCGTTCAAAAATGCTGATTCATCCAGTAATGAAACAAGTAAATCTTGAGTGAGTCATTGAATCATTCATTCAAAGATTTGTTCAAAAACGCTGATTCATCCAGTAATGAAGCAAGTAAATCTTGAGTGAGTCATTGAATCATTCATTCAAGAGATTCATTCAAAAACGCTGATTCATCCAGTAATGAAACAAGTAAATCTTGAGTGAGTCATTGATTCATTCATTCAAGAGATTCATTCAAAAACGCAGATTCATCCAGTAATGAACAAGTAAATCTTGAGTGAGTCATTGATTCATTCATTCAAGAGATTCGTTCAGTAATGAACAAGTAAATCTTGAGTGAGTCATTGAATCATACATTCAGAAATTCCATGTGATTTTGTTTAGTTGTCTAATGTTTTTTCTTCAAAATTGTGAGCACCATAATCATAAAAAAAAAATCTAAATTAAGTAGATTTTTCGGAATTCCATTGACAGATATTTGTTCTTGTTTTAATCATAAACTCACTTCATTTTGATCAATTTCTCATAAAGCAAGACGTGTGTCATCTTGCTTCTCAAGTAAATGCTTCTTGATTTAAGAATCTTTAGACATTTGCAGCGGAAAACAAGACACAGTTATTGCAGTGTGATCAGAAGCTACAGTAAAAGTTATTTCAATGTTCTGCTATTTGGAAGCAGAGCTACTTAAGCCTTGAATTTTTTTCTTTTTGCAAAATTAATTTTTTTAAAAATGCTTGTAAGTTGATTTTTTTACTTTGAAGTGTTTCCAGTTTGACTCTTCTGCTTCCTAGACATTTACATTTAGAGCACATATTGATGTATTATATTTAATGCTGTCAAACGATTAATCGCGATTAATCGCATCCAAAATAAAAGTTTTTGTTTACATAATATATGTGTGTGTGCTGTGTTTATTTATTAGGTATAAATAAATACACACAAACACATGCATGTATATATTTCAGAAAAATATGTTATGTTTATATATTTAATAGATTTATATTTAGATTATAATATATAAATATATACATGTAAATGGGTCAAAGATAAAAAAGGGTTTAAGCATAAAAACAATAAGTGTAATACTGCTTTAAATTGTTGTTTTTTTCCCCCCAAAAATTAATTTAATTGCAATTTTGTTTTTCTGAGCAAAACATAAATATCATACATTTTTCCCTGATTTACAGAAGAGACCCAGTAAAATGTCATTCAGTGTAACAATCTTGTCAGGCGTATTTACAACAAAAATCTATTTATGACATATTAACAGACTAATTACTTTCACCCCAAACACTAATTAGGTGTAATTTTACATTTTTTAAATGTGCCTCTATCCTAGGTTTTGCCTGTTTGTCAGTAAGACTTTTTTACTCATTTAAAACTCAATCAAATTTAATATGCTCCCTTATTATTTTATATATTTTAATATGTACAGGTCAGAATAAGCATGTTGTTTGAATTTTTACATAAATATTGTGTTACACTGAATGACAATGTAACATTATTTCAACCAAATGTTGACAATTTATTCTCCAAAAACTTATTTGAAACCTTAAAAATTACTTACATTTAATGTGCTTTCTATGGACA